TGAGCTGCTGTGCCCACGCCCTTCCTGTCAGAACACCGTGGCCTGTGGGCCTCTCTGAGGCTCCTCTTCTTCTTGGTTTTAAACTCCTGCTGGCGTCCAGCTGCTGCCACCTGCCCTCTTTCCATTCCTCCCTGCTACCCCCGTTGGTCCCTTTGATCAGGGAACAGCATGGCTCCTCTCTGAGGGCCTGGGCTCCTCTCTGAGGGCCTGACCAGACTGTAGACACTGCCTCCCTCTCTGCATCTGGGGACTGCAGTGGTGTGGAGTGACCTTGGTGGAGCCAGGCCCACCCCAAGGGTTATGTCGCCCCAGTGCTGGCCAGGGCTGGGCTCTGTCTCTGTTTCCTTCTTTGAGATGTGAAGACTTATCTCTTCAGTAAATCCAGTAAAAACGCCTTTGAACTGTCACTCCCCAGAGAAAACCATTGCTGATAGTTTGGGGTATAACTTTTAAATTTATTACTATTTTTTATGGTGCTGGTCATTGAACCTGGGGCCTTGCATATGCTAGGTGAGTGCTCTACCATGGTACACAGTTCCTACATATTCACTCATTCATTGATTCATTCAAGAGATATTTGTGTGCAGCAGACTCATGCTGGCTGTGAAGATCCAGCATGTACTCAGGAGATGTGTGGTAGAGCTTTCTGGGGTGTGGTTGGGTGGGGGTGGACCTCAAGTCTGTCCACAGCCCACAGGCGCACTAGCACTAGCAGTTGTTTTGGATTCATTGTGGACCGGCTATAACTTGTACCCCTTCCTGCCAGCTCACCACTAGGGGTGACTGTCATCCTCTCAGTCACGCACTGGTCTTGTTTTGTGCCTGTGTCCCATTGAATGAAATGATGAGGGTGACCCAGGAGGCCGCAGGTGGTGGGAGCCCCCTGGGGTCAGGCCAGCGGCTTGGGCATCTCAGGATGTTGCCCAGTGCTTCCCAGAGGATGTTGGTGGGAGGTTGCTTTTGCTCACGGAGGGTTTTCTAACAGTTTCCATTCCCTCTGCCATGCCCATGGGAGCCCAGGATTGAAACAGGTCCTTCTACAGTGGGTGACTTTCACACGGACAGGAACAATTACGTTCCCAGCTGAGGACTCCACAGCAGTGGGGTTGGAACCGGCCCCGTCCCAGTGTGCGAGGGTTGAGGCGGGGCTTGGGGCTCTGGCTGTTGGTCGCTTGAGTGAAGATTTTAGGTAGTGATAGACCTGCGATCGCCTGACCTCTCCAGGCCTTTGCTATTTTCTTCTCTTATGTAAAATGGAGACAGGAAGAGGGTTGCTAACAGCCCTCTGTGTGGGGAGGAAACGAAGCGGTCAGTAAAGCCCTAGTGTCTGGCACCTGGTGTGGCTCAGGCAGGGTGAGATTTGTTCTCACGGAGGAAGTCCTGTTTCCATTCAGCCGAAATCCACACCTTCTTCACTAATGCATCCTGGAAGCGCTGATATTTTTCTGGTCACCCACGGAGAGAAGACTTGGCCCCTGCCCAGCTCTTCTTCCCTCCCTTTTGAAGGTCGCAGAGCAGCGTGGTGGCCGAGCCATGCTTGGGGCCCTGGTGTTCTGCTCCAGAGCTGCAGGGTACATGAGACACGGCCCGGAGGAGGCTGCTGAGTGTCGATGCCCGGCCTGCCCTGACCCCTGGCCTCCTGGAGCTGGAGGGTTCTGCCCAGTGCATCTGCGCACCCTTGGTCTGGGAGTCCTGCACGAGTCTCGCCTTTCCTCCCCCACGGCTTCCTGTGCCCGAGACCGACTTCCTTGCCTCTGTGTGGGCCAGGGTCGTGACAGTGGCAATGGTGGCTGGGGCCTCGCTGGGTCAGTTGAAGAGTCTGCTTCCTGCCTGACCCGTGCCCCTGCTCCAGTGACTCTGCTCCTTCTGTCCAGTTGTTGAGGCTGCAATACGGCATCAAGGTGATGCTTCTCAAAAGGAGCCAGTCTTAGTCCTGCACTCTTTGTGGGTCCTGTGAGCAGTGTACATCCCGGTGGCACACTGAGCATGGTGACCTGGTGCTTGGGTGCCACCAGGCTTGTTGGGGCCCCTGCACGTAAGCTGATGTCACTGTGCACTCACCAGCTCTGCCCCGAGTGCCCTGTCCTCAGTGCGTTCTCTGTCATCACTGTGGATCCTGTCCGCGTGGACTTGTCTATTTGCTGGGATCACTTTGTGTGCCTGAGGCTAGGACTCCCATTGCTTTCCCGTCAACCCGGGACATGCACAGGGTGGCAGGTCTCTGCTGCACACATTCCCAAGTGCCCTGCCCTGGTGTCTAGTCTCTGTGGGGACAACCAGTGGGCGGGTGGGGATGGAACTGTTGGGGGTGAACTCTGCAATTTGCCAGACACACGTGAGTCCTGTGTTATCTTTTGCTGAATGAAATCATCCGCCAAGATGGCTGCTATGACTTACGTGTAGAGTTTGCACCAGACGTGTGTACACGGGCACCTCTTTCCTAGGAGTGGAGGCTGGGCCTTTGTTAGTGCGGTGTTCAGGGTGACTCTGGAGTGGCTCTTGTCCCTCGGTCCCCATGCTGATGGTGCAGATGGACTCTGTCTCCTGCCTGCTTCATGGCAGCAGCTGAGGCCAAGTGTGGCATTCTTGGTCCAGGGCCATTACCACTGTTGGGGTTGCATCAGCCTGGCTCCCGAGCCTGCCTCCTTTCTCCAGCACTGTCCTGTCCCCTGGCCCTGCTTGGTGACTGTGCCCTGGGTCATCGGTGAGGCTGCTCCTTGCACCTGCACTGTAGGACTCTGCTGTTCCCTGTTGGTCATGGCTTCCAGGTCTCCACTCAGCTCCCTGCTGGGCTCTGGGTCATGAGGTGGGGGCTGTGGGCTCCCAGCTGCTTCGTCTGTCCTGTGTCCCGTCTCCTGCTCCCTGTGCTGCCTGTGGCCTGGTTATGGCCTCTGGTGTGGTCCTCTCTTCTTTGTCCCTGTCCTTTCTTCCCCACACCCCATTGTGCTGGCCTCTCCTCTGGCTGTGGCTCTAGGTGTGACAGTCTTCATTAACTGTGGGTTTCCTTTTTTCTCCTGCAGCTGTGTACAGCTGGGTGGCTGGGTATCCTTCAGCATCTTAATGCCCGGGGGCAGCGGTTCCACACACCACCTTGGGAGCAGATGTGGATATGGGTCAAGGCCAGCACTGTGGGAAGATGGGCATGTTGTCCCCACCCACAAAGGAGGCTGTCTGGTATCTCTCTTGGGGTCTGCAGAACCTTCACTGCCTGGTGATGTGGATGCCAACTAAAAGTGCTGGGCACTGCTCGTCGATTCCGCCTGTGACACCCAGCAGGCAGTGGCCACAGGGGCTGCTCAGTGTCCTGGGTATTTTAGAGGTGTCCCAGGAGTCTAGAGTTTCCTTGGAGAGTGGCAGAAATCCTGGATGGGGGAAATATGGATGGTCCAGGGTTTAAAGGTGGAGAGGGAAGGCGCTGAGCCTGGGAGGAGGAGGTGCCAGGTCCCAGTAGGCCTGCGTGGGCCTGATGTCCTGCCACCCTCTCTGCCAGGCAGGCTTACCTGTGTCCCCAAAGCTGTGCCTGCTGGGCACTTGCATCTCTCACGGCTCTGTGGCAGCAGCACTACTGTGGCCTGGGGCAAGGGTTCTTCAGCGACCCCACACGGCCTGTCGGTACCTGCAGCAGCCACTATGATGGGGAGAGCGGCATGGGTCAAGGAGCTCCTGCAGAAAGCGCCAAGACTGTGTGGAGGATGGTTGCTCCCACCCCTGGTCGTGAGCAGGGTCAATTAACTCACAGAATGTGGTTGTCAGCGACCCAGAGGAAAGCGTGGAGGCAGGGAGAACAGGCTCCCTGTGTGCGTTTCCCCCATTCCCCTCCCTCAGCCCCTGCTCACCTGCTCTGGGTTCCTCCCCCATGTTCTCCCAGGGCTGGGCTTTGCTGTGATGCTTCCGGCCCACTGCAGGGGTCCAGGTACTGGACATGGTCCTGGGGACCCACTGTGCCACCACAGGGGCATTGCCCTTGCCTAGCAGGGCTGTGAGCACCCCCTGGCTCCTCGGTGCCAAGTCTGCACTGGGCTGTGCCTTTGCTTCCTCCCTTTTCTGCCTCTTGTCTGGCCACAGCCTGGGGAGGTCTCGGTGTAGGACGCTCTTCAGGAACTCACTCCGCCATCACACGCGACACTGGAACCTGGTAAAACACACACGACATAAACATCTCCAGGGCAAGGTGCACCCTGACCACTGTTCCTCGGCAGCTCCATGGAGTCAAGCACTTGCGTGTCTGTCATACAGAGGCTCAGCCACATGAGGGAGAGGCAGACTCCTCTGCCGGCACCAGGCGGAGTGCAGCTGGGAGCTGTTTTCTTGGCATTGAGTACCAGCCCCACTGTCTTCTCTTTGAACATCAGAGTTGGCTTTAGCAAATCTGCACCTTTATATCTGATATATAAATAATCAGAGGCAGCATCCAGGGAGATGGAGACAGGAGCAGGAGAGGCGGAGAGTGGAGGGCAGGTCCCTGGTTGGGTGTCTGGGGCGGTGGCTGGCTTTGCCTCCCTGGCAGCCCTGGTCGTCCCTCTCTGCCTCGGCTTGTCCCTGAGTTCCATCCTGGGCCCTGTTCTCCCTGCCCTCAGGATCAGGAAGCGCTCTGGGCAGGGCCAGGCTATTTTCTGTGGTGCCAGCAGTGTCTAGGCTCCACGCGTGGCCGTGCCATGTGTGTGGTCCCGTGTGTCCGAATGGTTCAAGGTGTGAGCACCGGTGTGGAACACGGTACCTTCGGCTCTTTTCTTCCTGAGGGGAAGGAGGTGAGAGGGAAGCCAAGCTACAGGGCGCAGGTGCTGTTCTGCCTTCCATAACCCGTGGTCTGGTAGTCGCCCAGCACGAGGAGGTCTGGGTGGACATTGGGTGGTGAGTGCAGTTCCCTTGTCAGAGTCTCGGTGGCTTCCTGTGTTTCTGAGCTGCTGCCTGCATCTGTCTCTGTGCTGCTGCCTGCGTCTGTCTCTGTGGGGTCCCTGATGGCTCCCTGGGACCCTCAGAGAGCCGTCTCACTGTTGTAGGTGATGCTCTCCGGAAGCCACGCCTTCAGAAGACGGCGACGTGGCACCTGGATGACGTCTTCTTCTCCCTGTACCCCTCCCTGGAGAAGTTTGAGGAGGAGCTTCTGGAGCTCCTGGTGGACGACCACTCCCGGGAGGTACAGCCCTGGCCTCGGGGACTTCTCCGTGCTGGGATGCAGGGCTGGGCACGGATGCTGCTGGGCATGGGCAGTGTGGCCCACAGGACCTGGTCCCATCTCTCCCTTTCTCCTGTCTCTGAAGTGGTCCATTAGGTACGTTTTAGAGGACCCGTTCCCTCCAGTGACCAAGCCCCCTGCAGATCCTGCAGCCTTACGTTGTCTTAAACAGCAGTGAAGGTGTTACCCTGAGATGTGAATTTTGATAGATTGTGAAGCAGCTTCATTTAAAAGTGCATTACGGAGCCAGGTGTGGCCTTGCTCAGCTGTAATCTCTGCACTTGGGAAAGCTGAGGCAGGAGGATTGGAAATTAAGGCTCAGTCTGAGCAGTTTAGACTTTGGGGCTGGGGACGTAGCTCAGTGCAGTGGTCCTGGGATCAATTAAAAAAAAAAGGGAAGGCCTGTCACCAAGTGGGCTTGGAGAAACCCATACAATTTTGGGGGTATGCAGCTCACTTTGGGAATGTCCGGAAGCCGCTGTCCTGTCCCTCCTGCCCTCCACGGTGGTTTCTGTGAGAGGTGCTCCCTGGCCCAGTGCCCCAGGCTCTGCACTGCGGTGTGGACGTTGTCCTGTCTCCTCACTGAGAGCCTGGTGGGGAGCACACTGCCCCCCGTGCTCTGGGAGGTTGGGGGTTCACCTCGTTAGGTGGGACGTCAGAAGAGCTCACAGTGAGGACCGCGCACCCAGGCCCCGGGTAGGGCTTACCTTGTGTGCAGGACTCCCCAGATGCTGCGGGTTCTCCAGGATGCACAGCTCCTCTGTGGCCCCACACTTCCCAGGATGCCCCCGGCGACCTCGCCTTGGCCTGTCCCGCTGTCCCAGGCGCTGTCCGAGCAGGCCCTGTGGCAGGGAGGTCCAGGAACATGGGATGTGCCGTGCACGGCCGGCCCATTCTGGGCTGATGGCCTGGTGGAAACGCCTCTTGTGGGGAGAAGGGTCCCCTGTCACCTCTCTTGCCTGAAAAGTGTTTACCTGTCTGTCTTCCTGTGGGTGGGCTGCATGTACTCTGGGACCCCATGACCTGCTGAAGGGACCCTGTCTGTGTGTCCTGGCTCTTCCTGAGAGGAACCACGCAAGGTGCAAGGATCCTTACAGGTCAGCCATGCTGGCTGCTGGTGCCTGCTGGGGCCACAGCCTTTACCCATGGTGTGAATCCTCTGCCCCTGTAGGCTTTGCTGGGGATGGTTGCAAATCCAATGCAGCAGAGGCTGGAGAATGTCTGCATTTCTGCTTCCTCCCCTGGACTTCTGCCTCTGGGCGACATGGCCCAGCTGCCGCTGGAGGGTGACATGGACCAGACGGTCACCAACACGGGGCTTTGGCCAGAGCTCTCGGGCCTCACCCACTTGGCGTGACCCCCAGGGTGGTCGGCCCTTGGAGGCTGGTGTGCGCCTCTTTCTGTTGGAGGCTGTGGGTGACGTTTGCTGCTTTGGCTGTCTGCCTGTGAAGGTCTTCTGGCAGGTTGGGTCTGCTGGCTTCTCAGGGGTCCCAGAGAGCAGCTCATCCACTGTAGGGCCAGCCAGGTCTCCAGGAAGCACACGTCCAGCGGGCTCTCCTCCCTGTCTGAGACCCTTGACTGGCCCTGGCTCTGCATCACCCTGCCCCTGTGGTCTATGTGTGCAGGATGGGGACGGGGTCTCTGCGGGGCCCTGACTGAACCCAGGGCCACTCCCTGGGCCACCTCTCTGGGTACTGGTGCTAGCCCGTGTTGGCCTTGGGACCGGCGACCCTTCCTGGTGTGCTTCCTGCAGACCTGTGTGCTACACCATGCAGCTTCCCGTCTTGTGTGCACCTGACCATCTGGTGGGTGCCACCAAGCCTCTTCAGTGACTCTGGCACCATGTCTCCCTCGGGCTTAGCGCTGCCAGGGAGTGTGCAGCTGTCCTCTCTGAGCGGGGCCAACCCCTGGGCTCCGCTTGTGAGTGTCAGGACAGGGACCGTTCTGTCCACTGCCTGGTGTCTTGTGCACCGGTGTCCAGTTGTTGCTAGAGTGAGCGTTTCAGTCGGGTTCTGCCAGCGGGTGAGCGGGTCATGGATTATGTGTTTATGGACCAGGTCACTGCTTGCCTCCTCCCCTCTCTGCTGGCGCAGCCTCGCAGAGCCCCACTCTGGGTAAAGTGAAAGCAGAACCCGGAGCGGATGGAAGGGCAGCATCCATTTTCCTGGTGTACTTCCTGCTGCATTCTTATTTTTCAGAGCAGATTGTGTGAGGGAGGAGATATTTTAAGAACCTCATTGTTGGATTTTGCATATTCCCGTAAAATAACTTTATTATGTATTTTAGCAGCCTTTGTGTTTTTTTACTGTCCAACTGGCAGATACTCAGTTATCTGCATAGTTTTATTTTCATTATCCAAAAACTAATAGGCTGAATCTTGGTCCTTTCAGCTTGAGTAATGGACAGTGTAGAGCACTGTAAAACTCAGATCATTTTGCAGAGACCACATAATTTAATAAACACTAATATCCTGCAGGGGTGACCTGCTCATTTGTTAGAGCGCCTGTTCACTTTCTGTTAAGATGAAACGCTTTAATATCCCGCCATCACTTTGGGGCAGATTCCATTTTGATTGGTTTATGACTCACTGCCTGAGTGTGCACCTCCTGCCATCCTCTCCCTCCCTGCGTCCTGTCTCTGTGTGGCGGGGTCGAAAGGCCGCCTGCCCTGCCTCGGTGCCTCCCCGTCCTTGCAGCCTCTCCCCGGCGAGGTGGCTCTGAGCCCCACAGATCCGAGCCTTGTCACCCAAGCCGGGGGAGCCAGAGCGGGCTCAGCAGAGGCGAAGCCAGGGCTGCGTGGGAAAGGCCAGGATCCCCAGGAAGTGTCCCGCAGTGCTTGGACTCCTTTCACTAAGTGTCACCTCACCTGGAGATGCCCGTGACTTCCGCTTTGGCTGCTTCACTCTGCTTGCCTGCTCCCCAGAGCTTCCCCGGGTGCGGGGCTCATTCTGCCCACCCTGTGTCCTTGCAGGGAGGTGGCCTGCTGGACGGTGGTGCCCTAGGGGTTCTGGAGCGGCGCTTGCACGTAGGTGTGCACAACGGTCTGGGCTTCGTGCAGCGGCCGCAGGTGGTGGTGCTGGTGCCCGAGATGGATGTGGCCTTGTCGCGCTCTGCCAGCTTCAGCAGGAAAGTGAGCTCCTCGGCCAGGACCAGGTACCCGCTGGGTGCCCCGCGGAGGTGGGTGGGGACTGCGAGGGCCACGGCGAGGCGAGGCTGTCCCCTGTCCCTCCAGACGAGCCCTCCCCACACTCCTCTGCGCCCACCTGTGCAAAGCTCTGGGTGCCCACTTGGTGGAGCACGCGGGTTGTGTGTGTGCTGTGGCAGCCAGGAGTTTGCATTTTGGATGCTTCTGGCCAGGGCAGCCGAGGGGCCGAGGAGACCCTGCATGGCAAGGCAGATGTACCCCAGGATCCTGGCGTCCCAAAGGCGGAGAGCCCTACTCCATTTAATCTGGTGCTTCCCACCCGAGTCCTGGCATCTCTGGGGCGCCCCGCTGTCCTCTCCTGTGCGTCCCCAGGAGGAGCTGCCTCCCATCCGCCGCACTTCGGGGTGATGCCACCCCATCCTGCAGGCTGGCCCTGGCGGTTTGGAAGAGAGCTGAGTGGGAATGCACAGGGCGGGAGCGACGCCCTCACGGCTCTGACCTGTGTTTCTGACCCAGCTGTGGAAGCCAGGCTCTGGTTTTGAGAAGCCATCTGCGACTCCCCGAGATGGTCAGTCACCCTGCCTTCGCCATCACCTTCCAGCTGGAGTACGTGTTCAGCAGCTTCTCCGGAGCGGACGGCAATGTGAGAATCAGCATTCTGTGCCCAGGTTTCCGGGGGCGGGTGGGCCCTATGTGCCCAGCATGGACATAGTTAGCATGAGTATTCTCTTGCCCACTAAAAGCTGTAGCAAGGCCAGTATGGTGATGCACATCTGTGATCCCAGGACTCTGGGAGGCTGAGGCAGGAGGATCACATTTGATCTTAGCTAAAAGGCCGAGAAGCGATGGGGAGGATCACAAATTTGAGTTCAGCCTGGGCAACTTAATGACTTTAGTGAGACTGTCTCTTAAAAAAAAGTTAAAAGGGGTCGGGGATTTAGCTCAGTGGTTACACCTGAGTTCAATCCCTGGTACCAAAAAAAAAAAAAAAAGCTACAACGAGCTGGGGTCTGTGCATGTAGCTCAATTCAAAGGCTCTGGGTTCAATCCTCAGTGCTGCAAAAAGCAAAAGAAAATTGTAGCAAGTATAGCGTATGATTCTAGAGCACCCTGTCTTTGTGTTCAGGATACATTCTGCTGGCCGATACTGACATAGTTCGGTAAGTTTCATGTATCATGAGTGCATTAATTCATAATTATGGGATCAATAATTATTTTGAAAAACGAGGCCATTTTAGTGTCTTTTTCATATCACATTAAGTGGGAAAGCCCGAATCTGTGAATGATAAATGGCTTCTTAGAGTGGGCTTTACATGTACACATTACAGTAAGGAGTAAGGGCTTGCGGAAATACAGCACGCAGGCATCGTTCACACCGCTGCTCTGGATTGCTTAGTAAACTCAGCTCTCATTATTCTTAGGACTCAGTTTTCTGTGTAACAAATCCAGTGTTGTTTCGACAAGTACCACAGAGGAGGTTGGAGTCCTGTGTGGACTGGCCTGCCCACACCCCAGTGGTTGTCCCCAAGGAGGGGCAGCTGTGAGGATGAAGGAGCCCTGGGGATGGGGTACCGGGGCACAGTGGCCACCCTTCTAGCCTGTGTGATTCAGAGTCCTGTCAGGGACATGGCCCAGGGTCCTGGTCATCTCAGTGGAACTTTGTCCCTGGTCCCACTGTAATTATCTCGAGAAATTTCATTGGCTGTGTGTGGGTGCCTAGGACTGGGTGGGACTGGGGTGTCTTGGGCTGGGGGTGACTTCCAAGCCTGGGAAGTGAGCAGCAGGGGAGTGGGCTATGGGGCACTCCAGGAGGTGCCAAAGGCCCTGACACCTGGTCCTGAGGGGTGCCCCAGGTGCTGCTGCTGGTGTGGGGTGTGGAGAGCACAGGGTAGGGGTGCAGCTTGGCCTTGTGCCTGGGGAGGGGTCCCCATCACTCTGGACTCACAGTTAGTTGCTCCGGGAATATTAATTATAATTTACTCGTGAGTGTGAAGTCTGAGGGCCAGAACAAACCCAGGCGCCCTATGTCTTGTGATACATGTTACGATTCTTTAACTGTTTGCTGGAATGCTTAGTCGCCTTGGCCCCTGGGGACTTTTGGAACATGTCACAGCCCATCAGCTCTTCTGGACGTGGCCTGTGACTGTCTCCATACTGTGTTCCGTTCACTGTTGTCAGGTGCTTTCTTCAGTGCAGCCCGGGAAGGGGCTGTGCCCTGGCAGGAGATGGTTTTCCCCACGAGTCACTACCATGGAGCAGTTAAGGGGTGAGGCCTGTGTCGGCCCCCCACACGAAGAGATCCAGATGTCGGAGGAAACAAGGACACCCTCAGCGCCAGCCCGGGCTTGCTCCTTCTCCCCAGCTGCCTGTGAGACGGTGGGAACACAAGCCTCAGACACACGTGGCCCCTCTGTGGCTCACGTGGGCCTGAGGGGCTGGGGGTGGGTCACGCTGCTGGGCTTCTGGCCCCTTGTTCTGAGGGACGCCACCTGCAGCTGGATGAGACCCTCCAGGCATGTTCATACTTCCAGGACACGGGTCTCCTCCTTCCTTCTTGTCCCTTTGTGGGGCTTCTTCTGTTAGGAAATTTAAACCAACGTGGACTTCTGTTAGGAATTTTAAACCAATGTGGACTGGGCAGTAACTTGAACCCAGGCCACACCTGCAGTTTCTGCCTTCCTGGGCCATTTGCTTTCTGTCCCTCTCCACAGCCCTTTCGCTTTGCTCTGAGGCAAGTTCCAGGCATAACTTTCATCCACAAACACTTTGGCGTGCACATCTTTAAAAATACTTTTTCTATTCTAAAAAAATGTCATATAGACAGGTGGGGAGAAACGCAGTGACCTCATGTGTTCCCAGCAGCAGCCTCAAGCTCACTGTTCACGGCTGGCCTGGCCTCTGTGATTTCTCCTCCATTGGTTTGGAGTACATCCTTGCTGTCGAGCCCTCCACCCACATTTATGCCCTGGGTCTGCAGAGACAGAACCTGGCGCCTTGCCGCAGACACCCTCATTGCACTCAGAGCTTGACATAAATTCGTCCAGCTCATCAGATTCTCAGTCAGCCCTGGTGGACATAGCTCATCTTCCTACTTTACAAGTGGGAGGAGCGAAGCAGCCCCTGTCCCAGGAACAGATCCCTGAACGAAGTTCCTGCCCGAGCCAGGCCGTGCATGTTTTCTTGCTGTGGGCTGATCCCTGATGCTGCTGTGACCCTGCTGTGTCCCTACGCTGGCCTTCTGCTCTGCCCTCCGTCTCCCAGCGTGTGCTCTTCTTTCTGGCCCTTGGATCGTGGATTCATGCTTCAGGCCAGCTGCCGGGAGCCGCAGTTGCCCATGGCCCTCGTAGGCTGTCCATCTGTCCACAGCATAACAGGAGGGGAGCCTGGTCCGGAGGATGCCGGCTGATACCGCATCCAGCCCGTGCCCGATCACCTGTGTGAATGAATTCCCTGGGCTCCAAGTTACTCAAAACAAACCAGCAGGCCCAGGTGCTGTTTTTCGCCATCCTTTAGTTAGTCTAAGCTGCTGGCACCCAGTCATTGCCCTGCCTTTGGCTTAGCTGTGAAGAGGCCAAGAAGCAGCCTTTCTCCCTGGACTCTGGGGACCGAGCGCCTTGTCGGGTCTGACTGCGACACTGCTTTGGGGATTGTGGCTGTGCAGGGCGGGGCTCCCTGAGGCTTCTGACTGACTCCCAGGGCACAGGAGCAGAGCACATGGGGCAGAAGAGCACTGAAGAGCCAGACCCTGCGTCTTGCTGCGTTTTCACTTCAGAATGCCCAGTCTTCCCTGGGCTCGAGGGGGTGAAAACAGAACTTTTGGAGGTCACGTGACTAAGCAGGCCCTCCCCGACCTCTGAGTGGTGGAGATCTAGCCAGTTTAGTGTTTACCTATCGGACTGCTGTTCGTGAACAAAACGTGCCGGTTTAACAAAAGTTGGGGCGCTGGCCTCGTGCAAGGAGCTGGTCTAGGTGCCTGGGATACAGCGGTGCCGTGCTCTGGAGTTCTCTGTGTTTGGAGATGTTCTGAAAATTCCATGAATCTAAATTTCCTGAAGCTTGACAGTTAGATCTGTAGCGGGTTTTTAAATTTTCATTTTCATGTTCTGTGATACTGGGGATTGAAGCTAGGGCTCCTGCCCTGAGCTACATCCCTGCCTCTTTTATAAAAATTTTGAGACAGGGTCTTGTTAAACTGTTAAGTTGCCCATGCTGGGCTCTAATTTGAGATCCTTCTGCCTCAGCCTCCTGCTGTGCTGGATTACAGATGTGCGCCTCCACGCCTGGCTATAGGGAGCTCTTCTGAGGTGTTTTGGAATCGTCCCTCTGTGTTCTGGAGCTCAATGCATGTCCTGGTCCAGTCTCTTCCGTGCTGCCTGGCATAGAGGGCAGCGTGTGATGCCTTGGGAGGAGGCATCTGTGTTTCTGTCTGCCACAGCTTGAGGCTTTGTTCTCCAAGCCCTGCAAGCGGTCAGGGCTGCTGATCTGCTGATTCAAAGTCGTCCACCCTTGACATTGCTAAGGAGGGAGAAACTGCTGAATTTCCTGCTTCATCCCAAATGTCAGGCTTCTCTTAGGGCTTTAGGAAAGATAGCAGCTTTTTAAAAACCGAGTTTTGGTTTGTCTTTTTAAAAATGTACTTTTGAGCCGGTGTTCACACACTGGAGCAGCAGCAGAGAGCGCCGTGGAGGCAACCTGCTGGACTCTGGTGGGGATGCTCCGTCCGCCTTGGCTCTGACCTGGACACTCTCAGCCAGGCTGCTCCTGAGAGCAACTCCATTGGCCTGTTGGGATCCACCTCGGGAATGGGTGCAGGTTTCTGGCTGTTAGTTGACTCAGAACTTTACAGCTTCAGGGGACAAACTGGAGGAAGTGCCCGTCCTGGGCTCGCGGGTGTCTATGCAGGGTGCTTTTTGTCGTGTGAGGATCCTTGGCCTCTGTCACCAGCCATCTTCCTCTCCCAGCATTTCCTTCATGAACGCTGCCTTCCTGCCCAGCCAGGAGTCAGAAGGAAGCTGAGGACTGCGTCTCTGGATCCAGGCAGGTGGGAAGCACTGAGGCAGGTGGCACAGAGCCTGTCCCTGCCCGGTCCCACCCCCTCGCCTGCCCAGTGCGCCCTGAGGTAGGGGTGGCAGCAGAAGTTCTCGTGGTCGCCTGAAGTGGAAACCGGAAGCAGGTCAGCCTGAACAACCAAAAGGGACTCTGGCTCTCGTGCTGGGCCAGTCAGGAAGGGGTCTGGTTTCAGGAGCCTCTGGGCATCTTGGGCTTTTTTTTTTGGTTGTTGTTTTTAAAATAAACCCCCCACCGTGACCATACAGAGCCCAGGGCTCCTTACGTGAGTCTTGGTTGTACACACTTGTAGCCGCTGCTGTCTGGGCACCTGGCTTCTCCTTGCTTCTGAAACCTCTGCTCATCTCCCCAGATCCTGCCGCCTTCAGCAACTGCTGGTTTGAGGCCTCTGTACTTCAGCTTTCCATGCCTGCTGGGACAAATTACTGCCCGCCCACTCGGTGGCTCTCAGGTGGGGCAGCTTGGGTCTTGCAGGTCTGGAGACGGAAGCTGTCCCTGTGCCGATCGCAAGGTTGCAGCAGGCCGCGCTTCCTGGCCGGGCCCTCCCCGCCTCTCCAGCACCCAGGCTGTGGCCTGGCTGGGTCTCAGGGAGTCAGTGTGGGGCCTGGCCAGTCCTGTGGCTGTTCCTGGAGGTGGGGAGGGCCCTTCTGCAGTTTCCTTCTGCACTTCCCAATGACCAGGGACACAGAGTTCTCTGTTGTGTGCGTCTCTGTCGTTAACGCTCTCCACAAGTGGCCGTTCCGCAGTCTCTCCCATTTCTGTTTTGAGTTGTCCGGCTTACTGCTGAGTAGGTGGAGTCGGGATACAAATCCCAGGGCAAATACAGGTGTTATGAATGCATTCATAGCTTGTACCTTACCTATTTTCTTAACACTGTTATTACTTGTAACAGTGGCATAATCGGACTTCATTTCATTTCCTTAACTCTTGCATGTGGACATGGTACCCAACTATTGATAATCTGCAGAAATACAAAGGACTCTGGCTCACTCTGGACCCAGGACCACTGATTGCTGACAGATGGTTGCTGTGTTTGCTTTCCCTGCATTTGCTCTCCTGTTGCCTGCCTGGTGTGTTACAAACCCTTGTTTCCCTGGACGTTTGCGGTCCCTGACCCCTGAACTTCATGGGCACCCATGGGAATCTCTCAAGGCTGCGGCTCTTCCTCTGTGACCCCAGCAAGGCCATTGTCCGGGCACTGTGTGGCGCTGGCCAGTGCTTTGGTCCAGCCCGCGTCCCTGTCCTGCCCACCCAGCTCTTGGTGGCATTTTTCCTCCAGGACAGCATCCGGCCAAGGTTCTTGTGTTTAGTTTCCATGTCTGGTGCCCTTGCACGTGGAACAGTTCTTGGCCTTTCTTTGTTTTTTATGATTTTATTTTATTTTTTAATATCACAGTCTCTTCTCCAAGTTGTTGAGAATCTTTAGATTTCTCCTTATTTAGATTGCTCCTTCTGATCAGAATAGGATGACGGCTTCCTGACCAGAAGATTGTGTGAGTGAGGCCCATGTCTTGGGCACTCGCTGTCCACCGGAGGCCATCTGGCCAGTGCGGGTGACATTGCCTGTGTTTTCTTCTGGTTGACAGTCTCAGGGGCCTCACCTAGGTTTCCCCCTGTGGCATCCTTGATGCCCCATCCATAAGGAGCCCTGGGCATCCCAACCCCACCCACGGGTGAGCCATTCTTTCACTGGGCGTGATTAAACTTCTTAAATTGCTGCCCATAATTATTTTGGTGCCCCAGTTGTCCCAGATTTGGGCAGATGGATCCCTTCAGGCCGGCCTGGTGTCCTTGTGGCTCTTCTAGCACGGCCTGTTCCCCAGCACTCTGCTGTCTGGCATAACGGGGAGCCCCAGGGGCGCCTGACCTTGTCCCTGTTCCCGACAGGGTGGCTGCAGTTCCTGTGAGGATCTGTGGTGACCCACACTCTGCCTTTAAAAGCATACACTTCCTTCCTGTAACAGTTTTAGGGCCACAGAAAAACTGTGAATGATAGTCAGAGTTCTGGTGCACCACCCCGATCCCCTGTGAAGGTCACCAGTGACTGGGTTTGAGTGTCGGTGTGGACCAAAGCCCGCAGTTCCCTGGTGTCTCCCTCCCTGTGCCGGGTTCCTCCTCTGTGGCCTCCCTTGGATGGTACCTGCTCTGTCATCCTGTCTCCTTAGGCTCCTTCAGACTGTAATGCTTGCTCACTGCTTGTTTGTGATGAGCCCTGGTTCTTTATAAAGGTGAATAACGAGTTGGGAATCAAGATCCAGGGTGTGTGTTTGTGTCCAAGCTTTCGCAGGGGACAGAGCTAGGAGGGGGTCACACATGGGGACACACGCCCATCCTTGCCCTAGCTTATAACCTCCAGTCCCTTCCTCAGGGCCCCGCCCTCTGTACCGCGCTCCTTCAGCAGAGAGAATGTAGCTCTGGGCTGGCACTGTCCCTGCGCCCAGATTTAGACCTGAGGTGGTTTTTCGAGTTGCCTGTCCCACACTCCATGGAGCACAGCCTTCCCCGAGGCTGAGGGTTCGCTTGTACCTCTCCCCACTGGGACTGGGGTGGCCCAGGGTGTCTGTCCCCCGTGTGAAGTTACCCATTTGGGCCACAAGTGGGCCCTTCTGGTACTGTTTTCACTTAGAGTTATTTTCCCCACCATTCTTAGTGTTCACCTCATCTGTCTGCCTGGCTACCTGTCTGTCCATCTGTCCATCCATCTGCCATGGGCATGGAGCCCAGGGCCTGGTGCTCCCTGGGAAGCTGCTACCACTGGGCGGCACCCCAGCCCCTAACATCTGCCCCCTCCCGCTGCCTGTGCACCCCATGTCCCCACTCATGTGTCCCAGGCCTCGGAGCTCCCTTTCTTTGCTTCCTGCTCCTGTTTGTGGTGAGGGTGGCCCTGCGTGTGGGTACTGCGTGGACGGGGCCTCCCCTCTGCCCTGGTAGCCATAGGGTGTCCTGGGGCCGCTGGCCCCTTTGCAGTACAGGCTACACTGTTTCCAGATGCTGCTGTCTATGTGCTGCCATCTGTTTCTCCGCAGATGCTCAGCTGCACCTTGTCTGTGTTTTGCTTTTGTGGATTGTTGTTCTTACTATTTTAGAACCAGACCCAGCACGCCATGCGGCTCTTACCATGTGGCACGTGGTGGTTTCCATGATCGTTGGGTTTTGGGGCTCTTGTGGCCTCATGTGCAGCAGAGCCTCCTGGGCCAAGACACACAGGTGGGGACTGGCAGCTCCTCTGAGGCACCGCAGTGACCGAGGAACCCTGGATTGTAGTGTCTCCCAGGACTGGGCCTGTTTCTGCTATGGCTTTGCCCACACTTTGATGTAAATCTTTCTTTTTTCCTTTGAGATAAAGTCTCATTATGTTGCCCAGGTTGGCCTTGAGCTCCTGGGCTCAGGCCATCCTCTCGCCTCAGCCTCCTGAGTAGCTAGGATTACAGGTGTAGGCTGATTTGCTGGCTGGGTGATCTCTCCCTAACCAGCAGAACTCACACATGGTCACAGCCTGCCACATAATTGCTTCCGTTCCTACTCTGCGCCTGGCCTTTTCCTCAGTACCCAAGCATTGGGAAGCCCTGACTGCACAGTCTCCATGTGGGGTACGAGCTGACACTGCTCAGGGATGCTGCCAGGGGCCACAGCCCAGGCATCCCAGGAAGAGGGGATGCCAGGGGTGAGGAGGAATGGGTACTCGTGCGGCTGACAGCTACCACACGGGAGAGATCTGTGTGTGCCGAGAGCCAGAGAACCCGAGAGAACTGGGGCTTGGAAGACGAGGTGTCTGCGTTGCCTAATTTGAAAAATAAAACCAGGAGCTGCACAAATAGCCCGACAGCTTGGGTCCATAGCTCATCTTTGGACCCTGTCATAAGTTTGCTTTTCCACAGTTGGCTGTTCACAAAGGTAATCTAGAGGTAGCTGAGTCCTGAAAGGGATTTAGCAACCACTTTTCCTCACGTCATTTTACTTTTAAAATTGGTGTGGTGGTGCAACCCTGTAAATCCCAGCACTCCGGAGGCTGAAGTGGGAGGATCGCGTTGAGTTGGAGGCTAGGATGGGCTACACAGTGAGTTCAGCCTGTAGTTCAGAAGTGTAGTTCAGCTTGAACTATGTAGTGAGACCCTGTTTCAAAAAACAAAAACAAAAGGCAGTGGGTTCATCATGAACTTTGCGTTGTTCCTAGTCACTGCCCAGCACTAGTTACAACCGCCTGCAGCCAGTGGGTGGGGCAGAGACACACGCTGCTGTCCGTGATGAGGGCTGAGTCCCTTCAGGGGATTCTAGGGTTTTCTCACTGAGTGCTCAGGGCATGAAATCTCCCTGTACCTGGCCCAGGATGTGATTGTGGTGGTGTCCTGACCACAATGTCCAGTGCAGCCGTGGCTTGGGTCAGCTGGACCCCGCTGCAGGAGACAGTGGTTTGTAGTCCAGCTGCGTGTGGGGAAGAGACAGCAACTTGAATCCTAATATTGACTGTGGATTTTCCCTGAATGGACACAGAGGCTACAAGAGATGGGTGTCAGCTGCAGGGACATCTGGGAGAGGCTGCCCTGAACTTGGATGTCTCCTGGCATCTCCTTTCCTGGAGGATGCCCCTCCGACTGCAGTTACGATGCTCATCCAGGTGCCCCTTTGGGTCCCTTCACCGCACCAGGAGCCCTGCACATCTCAGCTGCCTGGGGAGGGAGCCCCGGGGGTGGCATCCCTACCCACAGCCCCTTGCCACTGGCCGTTTCTTCTCCTCATGTGGCTGTGGAGACCGGTGGCTCTTCCCCTGGCTCCCCCAGCTGGGAGGCCCATTGTGTCTGCGGGGCTCACTCAGTCCCAGGCTGACTCTGCTCCCCGTGATCTCCCTTCCTGGCTGTGCAAATGCTCCGCCTACCAGAGAAACCTGCAGAGGTGCCAGCAGGACAAGGCTGTCACCTCCAAAGTCCTCTGCTGGGTGTCACTGGGCTCACTGCCCAGCTGGTGACGGTACAGTCTCCGGCACAGACCTGACCTGAGCTCTGCTGTATCCTCCCACTTCTTTTTTTTTTTTTTTGGTACCAGGGATTGAACTCGGGTCCTTGTGCTTGCAAGGCAGGCCACCGAACCGCTGAGCTAAATCTCCAGCCCTGTCCTCCCACTTCTTAAAAAAAAAATGGATAAAAGGGGCGACTTTAAAAGACTGCTGAGTCAAGGCCCGGAGCCACCCTTGTGGACCTTACTGTCTTCTCCTGTGCTGCCACCCCAGGGTTTCCTCAGGGTCCCATTCCTTTTCTGTGGCCAGTGACAGAGCAGGGAGAAAAAGGAACAGCACCTAAAGCTCCAGCTTTATGACATTGATCTCCCAGTGTCATGTGGAGCCACATTTATGAAACGTACTGCTAAAGATCTGCTGCAGAAAATGTGCTAAGCACCCCAGCATATACACCGCACTGCTCACTCTGGGTAAAGTGCGGTCCTTAGTGTTTCCTGACCAAATTGCCAGGAGTTGTGAGGTGCAGTGTTCAGAAACTCGCAGACACATCCTTGTGGGAACAGGGGAGCCTCGACGCAGTGCTGGCCTTCAGGGGGATCCCATTGCCACCTTGAGTGGAGAAGGATGGGAAAGGGTCCCTCTTAGACTGCTGGGTGGCTGCTGTGTCCTCCTGCCTCAGTTCCTCCTTCTGTAAAATGGGCCCAGTGGTCCCGGCCCCTTGCTCCCTGGGCTCTGGATACATTTTGCATTCTGCTGACTTCCAGGTGGTTTCTGTGATAACTCACATGTTATGTGCTTTGCTTCAATTCCAGGCCGCATCTGTCGCTCCCTCGTCCCACTTGGCGTGCATGCGCATGGTCCGCTGGGCCGTCTGGAACCCTGACCTGGAAGCCACTGATGGCAGGGTCACCTTGCCTCTGCAGGGCGGGACCGGGCCCAACCCCTCCCGCTGCCTGGTCTACAAGGTGCCCCCGGACAGCAGGAGCTCTGAAGAGGTAACACCACACTTCTCACCCGCACCGGTTCTCCAGAGAGCTGCTAGTGAGCTCATTTGCAGAACTGGAAGTTGGCTGATGTCTGCAGATGTTTCAGAATGTTCTCGTGTCGTGGATGTGCCCTGGAAAAGACAGAGAGGATGGCTGGGTCCTAGAATGGTCTAAACTGATGGTGATCTTACCCGCCAGTGGCCTGCTGTTCTGTGCATGCCTGCTCCAAGGGCATCTCAATGCCTGGGATGGTGGCTTCCCAGGGCCCCACTGGGCAGGGGGAGCCATGGCACAAGAGCGAGCCCTGAGGCCTGGCTCTCAGCCCCCGGCCCCACACCTGTCGGTGACCTGTCCATCACCTCCACAGCCTTTGGCTCTGTCAGCTATGTAGATGCAGGTCCACGGCAGGAATTCCCAGGTTTTGAAAAATATATTCCAAATTGACTGCTCCCAAGCTCCAATCTGGAAAGCCAGTGAAGTGGGGCAGGATGAAGGGAGTGCAGGGATCTGGTCCCTGGGCTGCCCCTGCCCATGGTGGCCTCGGAGGGTCCTTTGCAGAGGCCGAGGACTCCACTCTGCCCTGGTTGTGTGTGGAGTCCGTCCTGACCCTCCGAGATGTAGCTGGCCCCTGCAGTCCTAATATGCCTGTGTCAGCGGAGCAGACGGAAGCCTGTTAGCACTCCATTGCCTCATTTTTCTAAGGGAAGGGGACCGTACCTACTATTTCAGTATGTCACTTCTGTGCTGACTCTAGCAACGGATATTATTTTCAGTGTTATTTACGATTTGGATAATGCTTTGGGGACTAGGACACAGGAACAGCTGATTGTGCAGCTTTTCTTATTATAAGGAATGTCTCTCGTTACGGGGCCACGTTTTGCTGCATTCCCACATGGTCTAGCTGGAGCCCTTATTATAAAATTGCCATCGGAGATCCTGAGGCCATCGCCATTCTCCCTGCTACCTTCCCGTGTGTGTGTGTGTCTGTGTGTGTGTGTGTGTGTGTGTGTGTGTGTGTGTTTATCCCATTTACTTCTTGGCCAGTCATGCCAGTTCACTGCCTTCATTTATAAGTGCACACGCTGTGTGTGGCATGAGTATCTCTCAGGTGCGCCTATTCCCGGCACCCCAGCGTGCCAGAGATTGCTGTTTTCTGTGAGCATTACTACGTCTGCAGCAGTTCCTCAGCATCAGTCCTGCTCACATTCAGGCAGTGCTTCTTGCCAGGCTGCTCTGTGCTCTGAGGTGCTCTGCAGCAGCTCCAGCTTCTGTCATCCAGCACCAGCAACACCCCCAGTTGTGACAGTCCACAGTGTGTGCAGACATCGCCTGTGTCCTGCCCTAAACTGACAGAACTGACAAAGCCAGTGAACGACACCAGTGTCACAGCCCCCATCGGCTCCTGTACTGTGGGTCACAGCTTCTGCCCTTTCCCCCTGGCCGTGGTGCTTGTCAGGGCAGACCTGTTGGGAACCTGGCTCAGGTGACCGGTCACCTGTCTGGTCATGCATCCATGCAGTGAACTTTCAAGCACCTGCAGGTTCAGGGTCTCGTGGAATTAGCAGATGAGTAGGAGTGGCAGAGATTAGCCAAGGAAATGTGTAAGTGTTATGAATGTCCCAGTTTTTTTTTTTTTTTTTTGGTACAGGAGATCAAACTCAGGACCTTGCCTTTTCGAGGCAGGTGGTGGCACCACTGAGCTAAATTCCTGGCCCTCCCACACAGTTTTTGACTAAGCAGATTTTAGGGTTTACATTGTTGATGATTGTTTTACTGTTGTTTACTGGGAAACAAAATAACATATCCTGATTATGTTTTCTTCTTAAATAACTCCTGTCCTTTTCTCCTGAGCATATAATTGTCTCTTTTATAAAAAAAAAAAAAAAGTATCTTCGAAAGCTGCCACTTTCAATTCTTGGCCATGACTTATGATATTTACCTTTGTTTTCCAGATAATATGCTTTTACTATAATTTCTTAGTTTATCAATTTTAGACATTATACACTGACTTCCAGGAATGATAGATGTGGCCCCTAGCTCTCTCACACACCCGTCTGTCTAAGCCACATCTTCTCACTGCTCGACTTTGATTCAGCTCAGCCTCAGGAAGTGCGCAGCATGGCAGGGCTGGCGGGAGAACCCACAGGCCCCTGGGAACTGAGAGGGCTGAGGGACAGCACCAAGGGGGAAGCTGGGGGCGGCCTCAGTCTGTTGAGAGAAGCCTGTGCTCACCCGAAGCTGCAGTGTATGGACCTGGCTCTGAACAGCAGGCCAAGGAATTGGAGAACTGAACTGGGGGGCGGACAACTGTCTGTCCCAGACCTGCCACAGGAGGAGCACGTGCAGGAGAAACCCGAGGGCACACCACCTGGGCTTTGGGAATGGCACTGATGTGGGAACCACAGTCCATGGGAGGCTACCTGGAAACTAGCCCCAGCCCACTGGGCTGAGCTCTGCTTTAGCAAAACTATCAATAGTCTTTTTTCATGGGATTTAAATCAACCTCAGTATGTCATAATGTAATATCCAAAATGTCCTTGATAGCATCTAAAATTAACTGACATGCAAAGAGCCTGGAAGATCTCCACTTGTAGGGAAAAGACATTTAATATACACCAGCCCTGAGATGACACAGTATTGGAATTACTGGACAAAGACTTTAAAGCAGACATTATAAAGATGCTCTAGGAAGTAAGAGCTAACACTCTTGAAACAAATGGAAAGATGAAAAGTCTTAGTAAAGACAGAAGATGTGAAAAAGAATGGAGTGGAAGGTTTAGAACTGAAAATAAAGTAACCAAAACGAAAAATGCACCACGTAGAGTCCCTAGCAGGGTGGTGATGGCAGAGGAGCCAGTGAACCTGAAGGTAAATTGATAGCATTGATTCTGCCTGAACAACAGAGAAAGACTGATTGGAAGACAGTGGACAGAGTGCCCTGTGGGGCAGTACCAAAAAGACTGACCCTGTGTCCACAGCATCCCATTGGGGGAGAAGGATGTGGTGTAGAAAATAAAATATTTGAAGAAGCAGTTGTTGAAAACATCCCTTGTTGAAGGGTAATAATGGAAAAGAAAAAAATGTGAGAAAATGAAAAGATGGAAATAAAGTGTTTGTAAATGGGGAGGGGAGGAAAGGGTGAAGGGAGGGCAAGGACAAGGGGAAAAAATGAGAACCAAGACCTGTCATGTAAAGATCCCAATAATGAATGTAACTGTACTGTGTACCTAAAATGTACCAATAAACTCAGTGAGAGAGAGAGAAAAAAAAGAAAACATCCCTTGTTTGGCAAAACTCCTAAACCTACAGATCCAAGAAGTTGAGTGAACGCCAAAGTGAAATGTAGGGACCCACACCCAGACATGTCACATGCTGCCGAAAACGACAGTGAAAGTCATCTTGAGAGCAGCTGTGGCAACGTGGTGCATTACTTTGAGAATGAGTGATTTGAGGGACTGTGGATTCTTTGTTAGAAACCATGGAGGCTGGAAGGACAATAGAAGATGGCAGCACAAAGACCCGGCACCCAGACTCCAGTCCTCAGCGAGATTTGTGGAGGCACAAAGGTGACGCAAGACACCCGCAGGTGGGTGAGGACCAAGAGAATTCATCCACAGTGGGCATCTTCTATGGGAATGGCTGAAGGAGTTTCTTCAGGCAGAAGGGAGAGGATGCCCGTTGGAAATACGGAAACTCAGGAGTGAAGGACCGCAGGAATGATGATGGAGAGAGAACATCTTCTGTTCTTGAGTCCTTTGTTTTTTGAGGCAGGGTCCTGCTGTGTAGCTCAGGCTGGCCTCAAACTTGGGGTGATCCTCCTGCCTCAGCCTCCTGAGTGCTGGCACTATGGCATGCGATACCATGCCCTGCTGTTTGTTTTTTTGTTTTTTTTTTCTCGTACCAGGGATGAAACTCAGGACCTTGCGCTTGCGAGGCAGACAGCAGCACCACTGAGCTACATCCCCATCCCCACACTGTTCTTGAGTTCATTAAAATATGTTAGATGGTCGAAGCAAAAATGATAGGTCAGATTTCAAGGCATGTAGGTAGCTATGAGAGATGAGGCAGCTATAAGGAGGCCAGGTACTAGCACTATGTGGTGTAGGGTTTTTGCATTCTACTTGATTATATACTTTTGTTTTGCTTTTTGAGACAAGGCCTCTCTATGAAGCCCAGCCTGGCCTTGAACTCACGGTAGACCTCCTACCTCAGCCTCCCAAATGCTGGGATTACAAATGTGTGCCATCAGGTCTGGCAGGAATTTATATTTAAAACCTAGAGCAGCCAGGCGTGGTGGCGCACGCCTGTAATCCCAACACTCAGGAGGCTGAGGCAGGAGGATTGCTGTGAGTTCAAGACCAGCCTGGGATACATAGGTCCAGGTCAGTCTCAACTACATAGTGAGACCCTGCCTCAAAAAACAAACAAACAAACAAACATACAAAACCTAGAGCAGTCACTAGAACAGAATACAAAGAGATAGAAGCCCAACAGATAGATAAAATGAGATAATTCAAAAGATAGGGGAAATGAGACAAGAAACCAGAGGAGCAAGTAATAACAAAATAGCTGTTCTGAATCCGAATGTACTAATCATTACATTAAGTGTCAATCACCTAAACATTTTGTGTGAAGTCAGAGGTTGTCAGACTGAATGAAAAAAAAAAGTTTTTTACTTTAAATGTAACAACGTAGTGGCACATGCCTGTCATCCCAGCATTCAAGAGGCTGAGGCAGGAGTATTGCCTCAAGTTTGAGGCCTTGGCTATATAGTGAGTTCAAGGCCAGCCTGAACTATATAGTGAGACCCTGTCTCAAACAAACAAACACAAATAAAAATAAATAAGTAACGGGCCAGGGAATTTAGCTCAGTAGTGCCACTGCCTGCTTCACAAGCACAAGGCCCCGAGTTTGACCCCTGGTACCAAAAAAGAAAAAGAAAAAAAAAAGAATAAATAACAGTGTAGGCTAAAAGTAAAAGAATGGAGGACAGTCCATGTAAGCACTGACAGAGAACTGGAGGGGCTGTGTGAGTATCTTTCAAAGCAGACTTTGGCATCAAGGAAATTTCCAGAAACTGAGAGATCACATCTGTTGAAAGATATGGTCACCAAGAAGACATCTTGATCCTGAAAGTGTCTGCGTCAGACAGGAAGCTTCAGAATATGCACCACAAAGCTGCTAGAAAGGAACAGAGAAAGACGCAAATCCATGATGGTGTCTAGAGGCCTTGCCTCTCTAAGCAGACAGAAGCCACTGGGACATAAAAGAATCAAAGACGTCTTCATCCAGTTGCGTCTGGTTGTCATCGGCCAGCAGCCTCCCGGAAAACAGCAGAACAGGGCTGAACACAAGAATAGTCACCAGGTTAGACCACATCCTGGCCACGAAACAAGCTGACAATTTAACAAGGATTAAGATTTTGCAAGATATAATCTCTGGTCATAATGGAATTAAATTAAAAATCATTAGCAATAAAAATATAAAAATTACCAACCATCTAGTACTTGGGAGGCCAAGGCAGGAGGATCACCATGAGTTCAAGGCCAGCCTGGTCTACACAGTGAGTTCAAGCTCCCCTGAAATAATTAGCGAGAACTTGTTTCAAAAAACAAGAGAGGCCGGGGATTTACCTCAGTGGTGCTGCCGCCACCCTCGCAAGCAAGAGGTCTTGAGTTCAATCCCTGGTACAAACAAACAAAAAAACCAAAACAAAATCACCAAGCAATACATTTCTAAATAATCCGTAAGCCCAGGAGGAAACCTCAAGAGAAGATAGAAGATATTTTGATCTGAACAAAAATGAACACACAACATGGCAAAATTTGTCAGATGCAGCTAAATCATGCTTTGATAGAAACTTGTAGCACGAAGTCCTTATATTGGAACAAAAAACTTAATCTAATCTTCAACTGAATGCCTTTAGAAACTGGAGAGAGCAAAATAACCCTAAAGCAAGAAGAAAAGTCTGTAGTAAGGAGCAGAAGCCACTGAAATTAACAGAAACACAATAGATTAAAAAATTGAAAAAAAAAAAAAAGAACAGAAAGCCTGATTCTTGGAAAAGAGCCATAAAATTGATGAGCTTCTGACAAGATGGTGAAGAAAAAAAAGAGAACATAAATTGCAGTACTAGGAACAAGAGAATAGCAATCACTGTAGCCCACACAGGTAAGGCTGCAAACAGTTCTGTGTGTTCAGCAACAACGGAGAATTAGTATCACTAATTCACCCCCAGAATTCACCCCCATTGAGGAGAGAGCTTGGGTCCTTCTATAACTGTTATAGAAATTTAAATCATTGTTTAAACTCTTTCAGGCAAGTAAATATCCAGGCCCGTTCATCTTGAACTCTCCTAGACATTTAAAGAAGAAATAATGTCAGTTTTACAGTTTCTTATAGAAAATAGAAGAGACAAGGGAGATCCCTGGTTCATAAAGGAGGCTGAAGCCGGGGGATGTAGTTCAGTGGTTCCACCGCCTCCCTTGCAAGGGCAAGGTCCTGGGTTCGATCCCTAGTACCAAAACCAAAACACATCAAAAAGAGGCTGGCATTACCTGGATCACCAAGAAAGCCAAACTGGGAACCCAGCTGCCTCATCAACATGCAGAATCTTTGCAGATGGAACCTCACGCTGCCTAAGACAGTGGTGGGGGCGGCTCCCTGCACGGATAGAAGCCCTTTTTCTGAGGTAGTGGACTGCATTAAAGGCGGAAAGAGGAAAGGAAGACCTTCACGTGCGTCTAGCAGCTGCCGCGGAACAAGCCTCCCACGAGATTCAGCGTCACGTGTGAGCAGATCTCCAGGCGCAGTGAAGCTAACCACACACGCCTGGGGAAGCCTTCCTCTCTGATGCCACGGTTCTCAACTTGGTTCTGCTCAGGCGAGACCGGAGACCGGAAGGACAGAGAGGCGCAACAGCTTTCAGTGTGGGCAGGCTCCCGGTCACAGCGCAGCCAGCTCTCCCCAGAACTCATCTCTGGATTCAATGCAATCAGGCAAAGTCCCGTGGAGTTTTATTGATTTATGTATCTATCTGCGCATTGAGCAAGTGATTGTAAAACACAGATGACGGGGCAGAGGGATTAGAAGAGTTGAAACAGTTTGGAAAAAGGACAGGGAAGTTGGAGGAATCAGACTGCACAGTTGGAAGGCGCTCCTGAAAGCTGTGTTAGTACGCCATGTTCCCGGGGAAGAGATTGGCAGAGATGAATGAAATAGTCCAGAAGCAAGTCACAGCTTGCATGTGACAGAAATAGAGACTTGGGCTCACTCAAGAATCTCTATGCCCTGGTGTACTATAGCTGTGTTTAAAGTCACTAACCTGGAAAAAACCCAGCTGTTCCGAACCAGGGCTATACCCATATGGTGGAATACTATGCAGCAAGGAAAGGAGCGGGCTGTACATATGCGTGCTGCAGCCTCAAAAGTCATATATTGGAGCTGCGGTGCGCTTGTGCATGCCTGTAATTCTAGCTACTCTGGAGACCGAGGCAGGAGGATTTCAAGTTCCAGCCCCGCCCGGGCAGCTTTGGTGAGAGACCCTGTCTCAGAGTAAAATTTTTTAAAAAGGCCAGGGGTGTAGCTCAGTGGTAGAGCACTTGCCTTACATGCATCAGGCCCTGGTTCAATCGAAGGACAAAAAGTGTTCTGGTTGTAAGTCTTCGGGTTTTGTTTGGACGACAGTCTCTAGAGACCAGACTGGTGCTGGGTGTGGCCACTGAGGGCTGGGCGGGGCTACCGTGGCGCCATCCTGGATCCCGCCTAGGGTTGGTTGCCTGCATTTGTGCCTGTGTTCAATCCCGTAGAACTACACGCAGAATGAAAAGTCAGTTTTATGTGTTAATTAAGCAGCTAAGTATATTGGGACTTATTAAATATATTGAAAATATATTTCTGCTTGGTTAAATTCCATTCTGGAATACCCCGTAAGATCTTCTGGGGTTTGAATGCCACAGCGGACCTTTTTTACCCTAGATTAATAACCCTAACACGCACTGGTGGCTCCGCGGCTCCAAGTTGGCCCCGTGTGTCCCTGATGCGGTTGGGCAGCGCGGCCTCACAGTCTCTTTGACTCTGTTGCAGGTGAAGCAGGCAGAGGCGGGGACAGTGCAGTTCCGGTTCTCGCTGAACCCCGAGGAGCTGCTGGAGACCCCCAAGCAGCGTGCAGAGGGCCCCCTGGCAGAGCAGCCCTGCAGGAAGCCACCCCAGTCCCCCTCAGGTGAGCGCGTGGCCTCTTCCTCAGGAGCAAGCTCAGGCCGGCGAGGTTGCTAGGCTACAGGTCACGGCTGCAGAGGGCCTGCATTCGGATCCGTCAGTCTTGGGACTCAGACGGTGCCATGCAGCCAGGCCTGGCATTCTCACCTGCTCTGCACAGTTGCGAAGACCACAGTGCTAGCTCAGGTTTTCACTGTGTGAAGTGCCTCCTGCCCACCTGGAAGCACTGTGTGTGCCCTGGGAACCTGGGACCAAGCAGGAGTCGCCATGGGGTGTGACAGAGGGACCATGATGGCGCTCAGGGTGGGGACAGACGCACAGGTGTGCGGGGTGAAGAGCTGTGGCTGGCGTCCCCCGGGCTTGGGGACCCCAGTGCAGGGCCTGTCCCTCCGGCTGAATGCATGGTGGCCGGAGACAGTGAAAGGAAGCCTTGGGGTCCCTCTTCCAGCTGAAGTAGGTGCCCAGCCTCAGCCACCACACTCACGCTGGCCTTCCTGCCAGGTCCAGATGGGCAGATGGGAAAGGGCAGTGCCGAGCTGTGGTGCCTCGGTCCAGGCAGGGTGTGCCTGCTTTTCTTGGCTGTGGTCCTGGTCCTGCCTTGGAGTAGCCCTAACTCTGTCCCTGAGGGTGATTTTCCTCAGGAGCTGAGATTGTACTTTGCGAAAACTGGTCTTGTTGAATTTAACTTCCTGGGGGCAGGAGCAGCTTGCTTCCTTCTTTAGCCTGGAGCTTGGTGTGTCCTGACCTCTGTTTTCTTGATATTTGGGGACTTTGCAGGATGACTGAAAATAGCCAGGTACCCAAAGTCAAGTTGACTGTGTTGGGACAAACCACATGGTAAGTCCCATCCTTCTTTTCATAGAAGCAGTACATCTGAAGACTAACTGTTTTGTCTTTTCCGTTCTTGGGTTTTACGAGGGGTGGATTGTTCTTTGTACCCAGTGTGAGCAGGGCTGGTGTGGGGCTCCCTCCCCGAAGTGTGGCCAGGTGGTCTGTGGGGGAATTTCCAGTTCCAATACAGTGTAAACTCCGCGAGTGCTAATTCCAGGATCTTTGTCAGCTTTGGCCCTGTTTTTAAGTTTTGTTTTAAGTTGGCACATGATGCTGCATCTCTGTGGGGTGCGGTGTGTGTTCCGACCCCCGCCCCCGCCCTGACGTAATCCGGGGTCAGGGAAGTCAGTGTCCGAGACCCCAGCCGTTGCTGTTTCTTTGTGGTGAGGATATTTGGATCCTGTCTCCCGTTCAATGCTGATAATTGTAGCCCCCTGTGGGTGGCAGCACCCCAGAACTGAGCTCGCCTATCTTACTCTCCTCTGGGGCCTGTCAGCACCCCTTGTGTTTTCTGGAATCTATTTCCTCCATGCTGCACATATTTTTTTTTTGAGATTTATTTTTAAAAATCAAAAACAGTTCATAGTGAACGATTGCCAAGGCACTTTTGAAGAAGGGAGGTTCATCTTTCTGGATTTGCAGACTTCACCATGAAGTCGCAGGGACAAGAACATCATGGAATCAATGCAGAAATTGGTACTTAGGGAGGGGGACCAAGTAGGGTACGGGAGACACTGCAGGAAGGTGTGTGTGAGTTCCTATTGCTGCTGTCACAGAGCACCTTGATCTCAGTGACTTCGGGCAGCGCTGCCTCGTTTTCTTATGGTTTTTGAAGTCAGAAGCCATAGTGGGGTCTCCGAGACTGGAATCCAGTTCTCCTCCCCAGGGCTGCGTGCCTGGCCTTCTCCGGCTTCTTGAGGCCGCTGCCTCCCCTCGCACTGCCTCTCCCCATGGGAGAGCTCACTGGCCTCTGCAGACCCCTTCCTGATGCACCCCTGCCTCACTTTGACCCACTGGGACTGCGGTGTGGGGAGCCCACCGCCCAAACCGGCCCCACTGAAGTCAGCAAGTGGGCCGGGAGCCTGTGTCCCTCGGCAGTGCAGGCAGCCACTGCATTCCAGAAGGTTCTGGGGACTCAGGTGCCGTGTCTTGGGGTGTGAGCGGTTGCTCTCTGCCTCGGGCACAATTGCTTGTCCATCACATCATGTGCGGACTGAAGTCCAGATACATTAAGAAAATAGGACTTTAGAAGTTTTAAATTTGGAATTAGATTAGAAAGAGGAAGGATTATAGAAAAAGTTCCTCCAGATCGATCCAAGGTAGATGAGGAAGGAAGAGAAATGAACATAGGATACGAAGAGAAAATTGGCAGCGAAGAAACTGAAACAGGTAGCAAATGCACGGCGTCAGTGGTGGTCAGGGAAGTGGGAAGAAAGAGAGAAATCACGTCAATCCCCCAGGCCCAGGCGTACAGGAGCATGCAGATGCAGGTGGAGGTGGGGTCTGGCCACTGTGTGTGTGTGTGTGTGTGTGTGTGTGTGTGCGCGCGCGCACGCGTGTGTGCGTGCGTGTGAGATGTTCGGCTCACACTGAAGCCCGGAGTGCCTGTCTGTGCACGGCCAGAGTAACCGCTTCATCTCTGCGTGGGGACCCGCATGGGGCTGCTCATGGAAACTTTGTGGTCACGGGTTCAGAGCGCCTCCCTGGCCCCAGGAGTGGATGAGTAGGAGCCAGGCATGATGGTGTGCACCCAGCACTCTGGGAGGCTGAAGCAGTGGTATTCCAAACCTGAGCCCAACCTGAGGAACTTAGCTAGACCCTGTCTGGAAATAAAAGGGAATAATAAAAAAGGGCCAGGGTGGAGCGCAGGGTGAAGGCACACAACTGAAAAGCTGATTTGTTCAGGCAGAGGGATGCTGCAGACCTGTGCGTGTCAGTGTGGATGAACCTTCGGGGCAGGACGTTGGACGCAGATGTGTTCTGAAAGGGGGTGCACGGCACGGGAGCAGCGAGGGACCTCAGGACAGCTGCCTGTGTGGCCTGCGTGTGGGGACTGGGAACTTGGTGCCTCTGGCACTCAGTTTTCCTCATCTGTAAAGTGGGGTGGGTGAGAGAGCTAATATGAAGGACAGAGGCTGAGCAATCTTAGGAAAAAGCTGGAGAATGTTCTGGTGAAATTGGGGAATATTTTATGACTTTGGGGCCAGGAGGGCTTTCTTGAGCAAGATGGACGAAACATAAACCAAGAAAGAAAAAACAAAAAAAATCCCCCTGAAAAATCCAATTCTGTGGGAATATAAAACTTTTATAGGAGAGAAGATTCTATGAAAAGAGAAGTCCTGAGGCTGACAGGCATTTGAAAAAACACATGATCAGAATTAGTTGAAAGAATTAGAAAGAAAAATTGTGAAGAGAGCTTGAAATCCTGAGAAGAAGGTGAATAGCAGGGAAGGGAGCAGGTGAAGGTGGGGAAGGCTGTGGGGACCTGGGAAGGGCAGCAGGGTGCTGGGAAGCCATCTTGGTGAAGGCTGGGCCACAGTGACGTCTCCCTCAGGACGGGTGTGGACCGTGGGGTGCTGTGCAGGGGGTGGGCGTGGGGTGCAGGTGGAGCCTCCCCGCCTTCTGCTCAGCCCCGCCGGAACTTCCCTAAGCACACAAAAGGTAAAGTGTACGGTGTTCCCCTGAAAATAAGCCCTAGCTGTTTGTTGCCATGGTGATGGACGTGCAGAGTTTTCCTCACTGTTCTCTTGCTCCGCGGCTTCTCTTGCTGAGGCAGGGATAGGCCGACTGGGGCTGGCGTCTTTGATCTCTAGTCTTCAAGGCCGTGAGGTCTTATTTTCAGGGCAACACGGTATTAAAGACAAAGAGATAGGGCTGGGGATTTAGCTCAGTGGTTCCGCCACCTACCTCACAAGCACAAGGTCCCAAGTTCGATTCCCGTTACCAAAAAAGAAACACCACCAAGGGATAAAGTAGGATGAGGAGGCAGAGTGATGTGTGGGGAGCTCTGCTGCTGCACCGTTTTTCTTGACTTCAGGGTTTCTGTTTGTACTTCAAGGTTCACCTGTGCAGAGGCCAGCAGTATGTTCCTGTCAGGGCCAAGTCGTCATGTTTTAGGCCGTGGTGAGGCAGTCTGTCACAGGCACTTGTCTCTGCTGGTATATGCCAGAAGCTGAAGAGGGTAGGAAAAGTGATGTCCTGGCTGTGTCCCAATACAACTTTATTTACACGCACAGTTTGATATGAGGGCCATGGTCTGCAGACCCCTGCTCTGTGGCGTTCTCCTTGTCTTTCTCAGGAGGTGGCCTCCATCTTCTCCTGGATTCTGAAATGGTCCAGAAACGTGGGCCCCCAGTCTTAAAGGTCGGGTAGAACTGGCCTGCGACACCACAAGGAACCTGCTACCTTTTGAAGGCAGTTTTTGGCAACCATTTAATTTCATCTTATGGTTTTGGTCTGTTTACATTTTTACCCCATCTTATGTTCCTGTCAAGAAATGGCCCACTTTATCTTATTTTCAGAGATGCTGTGAGGGAGTCCTGTCCAGTTCTAAACTTCTGATCTGTGCCTGTGACTCTCTTCCTTTCCGGTGCCTTCCTGAGAGTGGAACTGCTTCCTTTCCGGGCAGCTGACCCCAGGGTGACCGCCTCACTGGTCTAATCTTGGAGAACCAGCTCAGATTTGCTTCTTGGTTCTGTTGTTCTTTAAAACTAATCTTATCTTTTTTTTTTTTTGGTACTGGAAATCGAACTCAGGACCTTTCACTTGCAAGGCAGGCGCAGTGCCACTGAGCTAAATTCCCAGCTCTCAAATCTTATCTTTATTTCTGATTAATTTTGATTTTATGTGCATCTGTTTTTAATTCCATCCTCTCAGTTTCTTCAAATTTTAAAAAAGTTAAATGTTTAAATTATTTTCGTTTTGTTCAACAATAAAGCATTTAAGGTTTTGCCATTCTTAAGTATAGCTTCAACCCTATTTCATAGGTCTTGATTTACTTATAGTGTTGTTATTTCCTAAATTATTGGTTCCAATTTGTGTTTCGTTTTTGTATGTATTACTGGGGATTGCACTCAGTATGCTGCCTCCTGTGGGACTACATCCCCAGCCATGTTTCTTTTTTACTTAGAATTTTGAAGTAGTTTAAAATAGACCCACATTAAAACAATAGTT